AGGGATGTTTCAAGAAACTCAAACAGCTCCTGGACCTTAAGGGGAAGCAGAACAGAGGGACGGGAAATGCAGGCGCTGAATGTGGGCAGGGCTCACGGGAGATGCTCTGTGCGGGAACCCCCCGAGAAGACGCATGCCACAGATGTGGGGGAAGCCTCCAGCAGAGCTCGGTGCCTCCAGAACATCCGAGCAGGACCGCCCATCGATGTCTCCACTGTGGGAAAAGCTTCCGCTGGAGATCACATCTTCTGAGACATCAGACGGTGCACAAGGGTGGGAAAAGCTCCAGCCCCAGCGCAGCCCGCGCCATCCAGCAGAGAATCCTCTCGGGGCAGAAACCCTGCCAGTGCCCCAACTGCGGGAGACGCTTTGATCGGAGGTCGACCCTCATGGCACATCAGAGGCTCCACACGGGAGAGAGACCCTACAAATGCCCCGAATGCGGGAAAGGCTTCATGCAGCAGTCACATCTGACGCGGCACCGGGGGATCCACTCTGGGGTCAAGCCCTGTGTCTGTGCTGACTACGGGAAGAGCTTCGTCAAGACCTGGAACCTGACCAAACACCAGCACTGCCACTCGGGGCAGAGACCCCGTCAAAGTGTTGAGGGTAGGGAAAGCGTCAGTCTGCGCTCACACCTGTCTCACCAGGAGGGAGCTGACGGCACGGCCCTGCTAGAGCACGTCACAGCAGAGAGACCCTACCGCTGCCTCGATTGCGGCAGGATGTTTAGCCAGAGCACGGACCTGCTGGTCCACCAGAGTAACCACATGGGTGAGCAACCCTACAAGTGTCCGGACTGCGGGAAGGGCTTCTGTGTACGCTTCAACCTGATGGTGCACCAGAGAGTCCACACGGACGAGCGACCCTACCTGTGTCCCGACTGCGGGAAGGGCTTCAGCCGGCGCTCCAGCCTCACGGCTCACCGGAGAGTCCACACGGGCGAGCGTCCCTACCCGTGTCCTGACTGCGGGAAGGGCTTCAGCCGGCGCTCCAGCCTCACGGCTCACCGGAGAGTCCACACGGGCGAGCGTCCCTACCCGTGTCCCGACTGCGGGAAGGGCTTCACAACCAAAACGGCCCTGAGCACTCACCACCGGAGCCACACGGGCGAGAGACCCTACAAATGCGCCGAGTGTGGGAAGAGTTTCAGCCAGAAGGCGCATCTGGTGCAGCATGAGAGGACCCACCTGCAAGGCAGACCCTACAAATGCGCTGAGTGTGGGAAAAACTTCAGCCAGAATGCCTACCTGGCCAAGCACAGCCGGATCCACTGCGGGGAACGGCCCTGCGTCTGTATGTACTGCGGGAAGGACTTCGGCGACACCTCCGCCCTGCTCCAACACCAGCGCACGCACACGGGGGAGAGGCCCTACCAGTGCACCGAGTGCGGGAAAAGCTTCAGACGGCGGGCGCACCTGATTCAGCACCAGAGGACGCACTCTGGGGAAAAGCCCTACATCTGTGCTGACTGCGGGAGACGATTCACGGAGAGCTCCACCTTGATCAAGCACCGGCGGATCCACACCGGGGAGAGACCCTACAAATGCGAGGCGTGTGGGAAAAGCTTCCGCCAGCACTCCAACCTGGCCCAGCATGCCTGGGTCCACTCCGGAGAGAGACCCAGCCTAGACCACGGGGGCAGCCTTATGGACGGCATGGCCCCGCCGGAGCGCCACGCAGCAGAGAGACCCTACCGCTGCCTTGACTGTGGAAGGACTTTCAGCCGGAGCACGGACCTGCTGGCCCACCAGAGTAACCACACGGGTGAGCAGCCTTACAAGTGCCCGGTCTGCGGGAAGGGCTTCTGTGTACGCTTCAACCTGATGGTGCACCGGAGAGTCCACACGGGCGAGCGACCCTACACATGCCCCGACTGCGGGAAGGGCTTCAGCCAGAACTCCAGCCTCACGGCTCACCAGAGAGTCCACACGGGCGAGCGACCCTACCCATGTCCTGACTGCGGGAAGCGCTTCAGCCGGAGCTCCCACCTCAAATCGCACCGGAGAGTCCACACGGGCGAGCGACCCTACCCGTGTCCCGACTGCGGGAAGGGCTTCAGCCGGAGGTCCAATCTCACAGCTCACCAGAGAGTCCACACTGGGCCAGCTGATTAAGGGCTGGGCAATACCTTTGGCTGTTACCCTTGGATACAGGCGAGACAATTACGGCGACGACCTATGAAATCCCGGACAAACCTTCGTGAATTTCGGTTTAACACCTCCGGGGTTCATGCAGATGGAGTTAAAAATGCAAATGTTTCTGTGCTCCAGTGGATTGTTTGGAACTCCATTGTCAAGGAGACAGGATTAATACAACTGCTGGGACGTACGCGGCACTTGGAAGGAACTTTTTGCAATGGGTGTAAAGTGGATTTTCTAGGAAATCCCTGTGGGTGAGGGGAATGCACGCCACCCCTTGGATGGTAAGCCCTGGGGAGAGAAACCAGTTGTCTGCTAATTACCTGCACCTGGAAACTCCCGCTCAGCAACCCCTGGACTGCATAAAGGGTGAGCTAAACATGTCAGAAGGGAGCTGAAGCTATGATGAGCTTGAAGGCACGAGACCCCTTTGGTGGGGCTCTGAAGGCCTTCTCCTGCCAGAGCCCACATGAGGGTCGGGGTCAAATCTGGAGAGCTTATTCGCAGGCGTGTAGGCTCTGTGATTGGTTTGACTGTTTCCTCTGCAGTGGAATAAAATAGGCTTACACAGGAAGTGCTGTGTGGTACCTTTATAACTGGGCAATTCCATTGGGTACAATCCCGGAGGGGGAAAGCAAGCGGGCCCGTTTAGGCAACATGGGTGGCGGGTGGAGCCCCCCTCTGCTCCTTCCACCCACGGCCCGAGTGTTCCCACCCGCCCGCCTGGAGGAGCCAAGTCCCCTCCCTGCTCAGAGGAGCCCCAGGCCAGCCAGAGCCCCCCCAGCTGCGCCGCACCTCCCTAGACCCCAAGCTGCCCTGTGGGAAAAGCTCTTGTCTCTTCTCTTCTGGAAGAAGAACCTGAGCTTTTGATATGCACCATGTAGGTTCCTGGGGCAGCTGAGGCGGTATGTGTTACTCAGCTTCTGGGGTTCATCAGTAATCTCTCTTGAGTCAGGGAGATGACTGATGAATCCAGGAAGCTGAATAGCACATACCTGCGCCTCCTTGGCCACCCCATAACCTGCATGGGGCATAATAATAAGCAAAAACTTCCCCTGCCAAAACCGGTACCTGGCGTTCGGCAGCAGCAGCCTCCCCTGACGTATTCTACCCGCTGCCCATGTTAGGCCGTCTGTCTATTCTGGGAATTACACAGTGAAGCCAGGGAAGTGTTTGGCTTGGGAACACAGGCTCGGACTTTTGGTTTTGCCGGTGGATGCTTCTCTCTGCCCCTCCCACCCTGTCTGAGCAGTGGGCGGGGCCTGCAGGGGAAGAGGCTGAGCGGGGCGGGGCCTCGGGGAAGAGATGGGGCAGGACAGGACCTTGGGACGGAGCCTCGGGGGAAGGGGCAGAGCAGGGGCGGGGCCTCAGGGGGAAGGGATGGGGCAGGGCAGGACCTTGGGACGGAGCCTCGGGGGAAGGGGCAGAGCAGGGGCAGGGCCTCAGGAGAAGGGGGCAGAACAGGGGCGAAA